AGAGAGAGATTCGACAGATTCAAATGATGCAACTCCACTTACAGATGCAGCAGCAATCCAACCAATACTGCCAGCTCCTTTCCAGCACCTCCTCAACAAATGGCTGCTGTCACAAGATACTGCCAGTGGTTGACTCACAGGAGAGGAAGACCACCACATGATGCCTATTGCCAAGCTCGATGGAGTGGATCAGGCTGGATAGAACAACAAAGATTGAGATACATAATTTCATTTCTAATAACACCATTTACTTACAATGAAATTCATGGCTGGTTGTTTCTCTGTCTCCATTCTCGAAGATTGTCAGCAAAATTCTCACTCATCACAACCAAAAGCTTCAGGTCACGGGGAGGATCTGGTCCTCCAGCATTTTGTGAAGGTTGTAGACAACAAACTTGTACCATACTGGATACTGCTCAAGTCCCAATTCCAACATGTAATCAATGATGCTTGTCATGTTGGGAGGCAGAGGCTTGCATAGTCCATCCATGATAACCTGCTCGAGAATAGGCATATTGTAGTTGTCTGCACGCACACATTGCCAAGGCCTTCTCCAAATCACATACTGACAGGTGAATCCATTCCTTGTGGCTCTCAACTCATTGTATGGGTATCTGTTGACACTTAGCAGCCACTGTGAGAAGACCGGTGTAATTCCGATCCTCATTGTCGAGTTGTCGCGTTGTTGTTTGTGGTAGTCGATCAGTATCGGTAGAGGAAGGAGCGTCCGTACAGGAAGTAGTAGTACTAGTTGTTGTTGTTGTTGTTGCCAAGTGTCTTGCCCCTACCCACGTAGGTGCTGACTTCAAGACAAACTAAGCAAAAGAAGGTAGGTCGCTCTTGTGTCGGTCGCTCTCGTGTCGGTCGCTCTCGTGTCAGTGGTGGTTGTTGTTGTTCCAAGGTCGGACTGAGCGTCGGTAGTGGAAGGATAGAAGGACGACGTTCGTTCGGTGGACGGGGGATACAACGATTAGTAGCATGCCATTGTCAACAACAACAAGAACAACAACAACAACAACAACAGCAACAACAACAACAGCAGCATTCTTACCTTGTCGAGTGCCTCCTTTTTGAATTTATTTGTGTCGATCGGAGCAAAAATGGGAAGGTGTGGTGCGAGCCAAGGATTGGGAGCGAAAAAAAGTATCCGTTGAAACAATTCAAACATGTGCCGTTGTGATGTACTTCCTGACGTAATCCTGGTTCTTCAGACACCAAAAGATTTAAAGGTGGGGGGAGGGATGACTGGTCATTGACGGTTCCCCTCATCGATGTAAGTACAAACTGGATCCGTTTGGTGTGGCAGGCTCGACAGTTCGGAATTGGGAATCCAACTGATAACCCTCTCCCTTTCTTCTTTCTTTTCCCTCCCCCGCGCTGCTGCCTAACCCCCCCATAAAGTCTCCTTCCCCCTTCAACGGTCCAAAGGCAGTTCATACAACAAGCACTTACTTGGGCAACCATTATTTCCAGGGAGAGGAACAAGAATAGCTTCTTCTTCCATAATCTTTTTGCCCTTGTTGTTAGTGGCTCTGCTGTTGGAATCTCCCCATTTTGTGGGTCATCAATTGGATCAGCTTGAATAAGACTATTATACTGTGGTCTGAATTGTCTGTGTCATCTTGAGAGGTACGGTAGGCACCAATTCCAGTCCCAGCTCTTCCGTGTTAGGAGTCATTCCAGTCAATTATTGACTGCTTCTTGGGCCACAAAACATTGGTCTAATCCCAGCCACAGAATGGGCCCCAGGTCCGTCCTCTTGACGCATTGCTGGTGGAGTTGACACTGGTATTGGATCCATGGATGCTACTGATAACATCATCAAGTGCCTGGGGTGTGAGGAGACATCTAGAGAACTGGTATCCTGGAATTTGGTTGGATGCTGATTTCCAATCACCACCTCCATCTCTGCCATCTCTTACTCCCCTATCTCTGGTGCAATAGAGAGCTTACTAGCTATGCTGTTAGAGGGAACTATGGAGGGGAACGCATCGTCTCTGGTGCTCTTATTGTTTGACGGAGGAAAATTGTCGATCGAATCTCGAATGATTCGATTCGGTTCAATCGTGGTCTCGGGAGACTCTTGGAAAAATGATCAGCAAAGGTAAAATTGAAAGTAAATTGGGTGCTGCACAAAAAAAAAAAAACTTGAAGAACGGCTGGGGACCACGGTGCCGGTAGGAACCACCGGTTGCCACCCGGTAGCCACCCGGTAGCCACCGGTAGCTAGTAGCTAGATCCATCAAGCCGAAAGATCTTGTGCGTGCTTGCAATTATTATTGTGCTGGATTATTCCCGTATGGTACACAAGTCAACCATTCACCCTTCTCCAGGACAGCACTGTAGAAGTCTGTCTTATCCATCCATCCATGCATCCATCCATCCATGCAAAAGACATGTCATTCAACCCACGAGTGCTATCTTCTATGATAGCTGGTAGCAACTGCGCCGGTATCTACCATCAAGCTGACAAGCATGGGGTTGGAGTGTAGTATGCGGGGGGGAGAGCGGGCTTTGGTGGGATGGATCTTTGAAGTCGTTGTTGACTGCAAAGCTGTGTTATGTTGTACCAATACGCTGTAAATAAGGCCTGAGTTCGCTAGAAAATGTGGGGATGAAAAGGTCGAAGATTTAATAACCACTTGTGATTCCCAGATTCTTGTTCAATGAAGACAGTCAGCATTAATTAAGCGTACTGGTAGGGGTTTGCTCAAAGTGAAGAAGAAGAACGAACCGGGAGTACCCCCTTTAAATGCATTCTCGATTACACTAATTGTATGCATATCTTTAGTACTCGAGTATTTACAGAAAACGTATTTGCACGACTGAGTTCGAGAGGACGTTTTCTTTTTTTTACTTCGCGCGAGTTCGAAACATCAAAAAAGTATTTTTGATTTTGATGCTGCAAAAACACTGACCGTGACGCTGGCGCACTCACAAGATTTTGATTTCAAAAGTTTTAAAATTAGAATAAAATCAAAGTAAGGGTGTTTCGTTTCGCGAGACTTTCTTCATCTTTTCCTTCGAGAGATTCGTTGAGCAGTATCACAATCCTTCCTTTGCAACTGTTGTTCGAACAATGACAATGACAACGACAATGAGACTCTTCGTCTTCTAAGGCCACCAGCTACCACCTCATCCATTGAAATGCTACTTCGCGTTCGGAAGCCCTGCTAGTCTGGCGTCATCTTTCTACGGTCGCGTTGTCCGCGGCGTCCTGCGTCCTGCAGATCAAGAATCAAGCACCAAGAATCAAGGTTTGACCCCGTACAGTGCTACTTTGGTTCCTCTTGAAGTCAAGCTTGTTGGCGGTTCCTTCCCGTGCTGTCATGCCAGGCCAGTAGACCATCTGATGGTGCCCCTGTGCTGCTCGCCGTCTCTTGGCGTGTCAGCGGCGTCCTGCTGTTGTGGGTGGATCAAGAACCAAGAATCAAGACAGTTTGTCCCCGTACCATGCTACCGTACTCTGGTTCCTCTTGAAGTCAAGATTGGTTGATGTCAATGTCACTCTTCTTTAGTTGGTCGGAGGTTCCTATCAAAGTCAAGGTGGATGGTCTGTCAATCGCAATGTCCATGGGTGACTCTTGAACACTTGGGCCACGCTGTTGTCTCATAACTTCATGTAAGCCTTTCCAAGTGCCATTGTGCCAGAGAGCATTCCCTGTGACATACCCCCAGGATGAGAACATTCCCATGGCATTGCGATTGACATCCGGAAGCCGATACTGCGATACACTTTTCTTTCCTTGTTGGTGGTTCCTTTCAGCTGGATTAGTGATAACTAATATAGCTCAGTGTCAACAGTGGGGCTGCCCTTTGGCAAGCAATAGTTGTTGGTCAGTCTTGGCCAGCAGCACACCCTTCTCCAATGTCTTGTAGTCGTTCACTCTTCTTTAGTTGGTTGGAGGTTCCTATCAAAGTCGAGGTGGATGGTCTGTCAATCACGATGTCCATGGGTGACTCTGGAACACTTGGGCCACGCTGTTGTCTCATAACTTCATGTAAGCCTTTCCAAGTGCCATTGTGCCAGAGAGCATTCCCTGTGACATACCCCCAGGATGAGAACATTCCCATGGCATTGCGATTGACAACCGGAAGCTGATACTGCGATACACTCTAGGTTTTCCTTCCCTTCAAGGTTGGTGGTTCCGATCAATGTGGAGGTAGAAGGTTTGTCAGCAAAGTACTGCGACCTGCTGCACACTGGCACACTGGCATGCTGGGATGCTCTATTTGCACAGTGTGGTGGTGCTGCACGGCATGCCCGGATGCACAACCCACCATCTTGGGAACACGGCAATGATGGTGACAGCTGCCATCCTTCCTTGATCGTCTGGAGGATGACATTCCTCCCAATCATACATCATACACTCTTTAAGCAACTTCATCCAATACGGTATAATGGCGACTTCTCGGTGTTACATTTTCCAGTGAGTGCGATGACGATCTTAGCTAACTCCCACTTGGAGCCTTCATGACCGTTTCGATGCTTGACATTGTAAAGCCTATGTGCCATCCTTCCTGCGTCGTTTCGAGGGTGCTGATTGTCTCTAGTCAGGGCGATGCTTTTTGGAGGGTTCTAGTTCGGTGATCTTTGCTACGCAAGGGTTCCGCTTGTCTTGGCTTCAGCCCGGCTTCGAGGACAGATCCGCATCTTCGTGTCTCCTTCAGCAGGACGGCTTGTTTGGGCGGGAGCCGAGGCAAAAGGAACATGTTTTGGGGGATCGATGCGCATGTTGGCGCGGGAACACTGTTCCTCGTTGCGGGCAGCTGCAAGGTTACGGGCTCAGGCGGCCTTGCAAGAGCTCGCCGCATGCGGTTCTCCGCCTTCATCGTCAGACGCTGCGCGGGGATTGCCACCAAAAACGCACATTAGTTGAATGTTGCTGCAAAGGCTGATGCGGCTTTCCCGACAAAAACGCACTTGGCCGGGGGTCCGTGGTCGGACATGGTCACGGTTGTTTCAAAAGCTAAGCACAAAGGCAATTGAGTTTCATGGCTTGACATAGCTCGATTTTTTAGATTTGTTGCTCTTGAGAAGTCGTACCGGTATGCCATGAATGGGTCTGGAGCTGGTGCTGCCGTTGCCGTTGCCGCTATCGTGATTGCTTGGCAATTGGGGCTGATGGCCCCAAAGGCACTTGTTCGAGCGTGAGCCCAGAACATTTCAATCTCATAATCCCACTTAATTCTTTCACGCTGCGGCCGTACACTTGATGGAGCTGGAGCTGGAGATGCACGATGCTACGTTTCAGGTAATGAAGATGACACTCGTGAACTGCATTCGAACATTCCCATGTGCTGTTATGAATGATGAGGTAGTTTCATACACTGTTCGAGCCGCTTTCCCAAGCATACTCTGCAACTACAACGTTGGATACGACTAACTCGCGACGCCTAGGTCAAGAACTCGTTACCGGTATGGTCGAAGTGCCAGTAGAATGCGGCGTGGATAGCAAGACTAGTCAACTAGCTAGAAAGCAGGGTACGTGTGGAAAGATGACCAACCTAGATAAAATGACTACCAGATACGCTTCCACTCTTCGTTTCCTCGAATCTCTACCAAACCAAATCTCCGGATGAAAAGCGGGGTAGGCTTCCTCTTTTCTCACATTTTGCATGAGTTCCGCAAAGAATCAAAGATATTTTCGACATGAGGATCTCTCGAAACGACGGACGGGATTCCGAACCTTCCACCGATCGGTATACAAAAACAAGGTCGCATGTCAAAACCACGTCTTCTTGATTGGGTTCCCCACACATCTGAAACAACTTACCAAGAAACCTTTCCTGAAGGACTACATGTGCGGGAAAGCCACCACCTGCTTCAATACCGGTACATGTAGGAAGTATATGTCAGTATAAGCAACCACTGTCCTGGAAGCAGCCAAGCGAATTCAGTTAGCCTTCGGGGCCACTGCTGCCAACCGTTTTTCTCGAGACAAACGATGAATTCGACAGCAACATGGACAAGATGCTTTGATCTTTCGACCTGGTCTTCTCCTTTATCCCGACAAACCCAATCATACCTGATACCAAGCTTTCCGGCTGTTGGGTCGGGCCGCCTTTTGTCCCCATTTGTGAGTACACAAAGACAGAAAACAAAAGCAAGATGACGCTGACAACAAAACTCTCACCGTGAATGCTCGTCCAGTTCGGAGCACCTTGTTTGTGGAGACAGGCAAGGCCCTCGTTTTGTCTCGCATTATTTAAATTTCAAAGAGATGGGCAAGGCCCTGATTTGATTTGTCTCACAATAAATAAATATGTATTCAAAGCACTCAATCAATCGTACAAGATAGCTCTTGCACCCTTGAGGGATTGTGCCGATGGTGGTCCACTGGCCATGCCATTGGGGAACAAGACTTGGCAACATCCCACTTGTGGATTATTGTTATTCTGTTGTTCCGACATGCGTGCATTGGATCCGATGATGATTCCAATCGTTCGTGACTTGGGTAAAATAACTTTCCGAGCCCTCAGGGCGTGCGGCATGACGGGTTGTTCCGGTTGCCCTTGTTTATTGGGTGGCGATTCGTAGAATCCTTGGACCGTGGCAATCAAAGGACTATTGCGGGCTCCCGAGGTCGCCACGGCCGATACCACTTCGCCCCACTTGCTGAGTTTCGAGGGGGGTGGCGCAGCATTGTTGTTGTTGTTGTTTCGTTGCTGATAAAAGTCGTGCAAGTTCCAAATGAGTTTTCCCGCAAAACCAATGTCGTTGTTATTGCTGCTGCTGTTGTTGCCGTTTCCATTTTTTGCCGCTGGAGCTGCGGTAAAGTATCCCGACGATTCGATGGCTTGATGGAGAGGTTGTTCCAGATCGATGATTGCCCAATGTGTCAAGGGCAAGTTTCGTCGTGCGGGTGGTTGATATGTTTTGCGCCGCTCATCTTGATGTTTGAGAAAGGATAGAATCTCTTGTCCCTTCCACGACTGACTGGAGTTGTTGGAGGGCAGCCGACCAATGGGTACATAATGATCTTGTAAATGTCGTTTGGACGGCTGATGTGCCAAAAGTGCCGGATTGTCTGGACTGGAAAAGAACTGTACATGGGCGACGACACCTTGATCTTGTGTTCGAATCAAGTATGCCGTCTTGGTGGGTAGATCGGGCGTAAAGTCGCAAGTTTTTCCTGTAACTTGTGCCAGAGCCAGTTTCCACGGTCTCTTTGTTGGAACGGGTGGTGGACGCTGCTGAGATGTTTGTTGCTGTTGCTGCAACAATTGCAGTGGTCCACTGGAGTTTCGTCGAGGATTTTCCTTGGGTTTGTCTAGTAGTGGTGGCTGCGGTCGATTTGTTCGAGGATTGTTGGCATTGTTGTTGTTGCTAGGCATTTGTCTGGTTGTCTGCGTGTGAGAATGACGACGTTCTGCTGCTGGATTAGCAGTGGGATGTGTTGGTTGCTGGTCTACATTGCTGCTGCTGTTTGTCCGTTTGTGGAAATGAGTGGGTCTTTGACTCTTGAGTCCTTCATTCAGAGCAGCAGGTTTGGAGTTAGTGTCAGCGTTGGTGTTGGTGTGGTTTGCGTTGTTACTACTGGTAGTACTTCCTTCACTAGTGTTTGGTTTGTTGACTGTTTCCCTGGGAGGAGGGAAATTTGGTATCGTTTTTTGTGGCGGTCCTTGAGGATTGGCAGCATTGTTGTTGTTATTGCTGGGTGAGAGAGTTCTTCTTCTATTCGTGATGACCTTCATGACAGCTTCAATACAGGAATTTTCATCTTCAATTTTGAATCTGACTTTTTCAGTAGGACCAGTGGACTCAATGTGAGTGATGAGTAAACTGTCTGTGGATCCAGTGACAGGTGGAATGTGGTATTCATATTCATAGTCATAGTAGAAGTAGTCTTCATCCATACTAAAAGCAGCCGCTTGCTCTGCCTGCTCTTCTTCCAATTGCAGTTGAAGCATCTTCTTTTTTTCTTGAGCTTCTTTCAAACGAGCCTTTGCTTGTTCCAACAGTTCCTTCCTGGTCAACTTGGGCTTCTTGACACATGGAGCTTCCTCTGCCATTTCACCAACTGCAGCTCGCTTCTTGGCACTACTACTATTAATACCACAAACACTGCTGCTACTCGGACCACCTGGAGTGCTTTGGTCCTCCATTGCGGCTAGCTAGACTAGCCTGCACTGATCTGATCAAACAAACTCAAACTGACCTGGCCTGACCTGGCTGAGTTGAGTCACTCAGCTGTAGTCGCCAAATCCAACACTGGCTAGCTAGCCAGTGGTTGTGATGTCTTTTTATCAACACGCAAAAGAGCACACAAGGAGACCAGCGAAAGCTTCAATCTCCAAATTTACACAATCATTCTGACTGATGGATCCTATTGTATTGTATTCTTCAACTCTCTTCAATTAATTCTATCTTCTGCTTCTTGCTGCTCTCACGCAAAAGAAGAGTCTATCTCTCTCCACAAAAGATCAAGGTCAAGATGGCCACTGTCATAACAACCAACACTGATTGATCTTGTGCGTGGTGGCAGCGGAGGGGTTGCGCGGCAAGGTGCGGAAGCGGGACTTCTAGATTTGTAATGCTTCTAATTAATGCTTTAAGTACCGTTTGAGGAACATGGAGGATCGAGTGGGAGTCGAGTCGAGTCAAGTCAAACAATAGAAGCGTAAGGCCAACCCACGGGATACTTGGTTGTAATGAGAGAACTACCGTACTGGTATTGGCAAGAAGCCCAATGGTAACTTGGTGCAACGCTTTCGTGTTTATGCACTGGTCTTCCCTTCATGCATTTCTCTTCAGCAACAAGTCAAAAAACAGCAATTCAAGCAAGCAATCTGTCATCTCTCTCTCGAGGGCAGCCAGCTCGGTGGTGAACGTAGTTTCTGCTACGGTACTGCCGAAGCGGGCAGATCGTACGGTACGTATCCATATGCATCATGCCGATTATTTTAAGTGATTTGATTATGGAGACATCTATCTATCGGTCACATACCGTACACAAGCCGGGTTCTATGATACGGTTCGCTCAGGAACTCGCTCGACTGTCATCGTAGTGATGAAGCCAGCGGCGGCTGCACCACAGCTGGATCATTCTGATAGGATCCGTTGCCGTACATCTCTTGTGCTGGCGGAGTAGACGATTTCGTGTCCATGTCATCGTCACGTGCTGTCGTTCCGTACGTCGAAGATGACAGCGGGCTGAATGATTTGTACGACGTCTGCGGCACTCGTATGGATTTCTTCACATCGTCCAGGAGGACCCGTTGCTCTGTCCTCGACTTCCAATGCAGGCAAAATGCCATCATGGTCATCAAAAAACTCATCCAAACAAATGTCGCTGGTCTAAAGTCGCTCGTTGTGGTAGTTCCCTGTGGGCCATTTTCGAATGGATTGTTCCACTCTTCATCCACGTCACCGTTGAACGAAGCCAAGCAATGAGGACCCACCCAGCCGCGTCGACAAGCACAGGAAAAACTGCCGCTGGAAGCGGTTAGGTTACCCCTGACGCAGATTCCTTGCACCCGTGTCGTCGAAACTGTCCCACAGTCGCTGTCCGTGTTACAGCTCCCACCTCCCACTTGAATCTGCTTCAGTGGGAACTCATCGTCGGAGAGCTTGTAATCGTCATTGTGCGCTTCGATAAAGGCTTTGGTGGGACGGTTGGGCGGCGAGCAGCCCGTGGTGTATTTGTTCGATGATGTCGGCTGATAGACCCGCACCGAGTCAATTTCGAGGCTGGTAGGCATATTGTCGCAAAAGCCCTTGGGCAAAGCGCACGCACACGCGGGATCTTGACAACTCCAGCACTTTTTGGGGCAGTCTTTGAAGTAAGCATCGGGGAATCCCCAATCTTTGGAAACGGCAAGGTTCATGACCAGGTACATGGGCTGAAATAAGTAAGTAAGTGAGCAAGTAAGCGTTTGACAATGATGGATAAACAGAACAAGGTGAGACGACGCGAGAAAACTCTATGGAATGCAAGGGACTATGATAGCATAGTAGCATGGAACGCACCTCGCTTGGAATCTCTGTCTGCGACGTGTTTTGCAAGTCATCCCCGTAAACCGCAGTGACCAACTTTCCATCAATAAACCACTTGATGTAGCCACCATATCCGGACTCTTCTTCTGGTGGTTCCCACTCTACTCTGAATTTGTGAAAGTTCTCGTAAAAGTCGTTGCCGAGTGCCATGTTGGCCGAGATGGAGTCGGTTTGATAGGGTTTGGTGGTGGGATCGGCCGGGAAGGACCAGGTTCCATAAAAGTACGTGTTGCGTGTGGCATTGTCGCCAAACTCGGGCGAATACCAAGTGTTGGACTATAGAAGAAAAAGAGAGAAGGATGCAGTGAGCATAGCATATCGTAGAGAGGTACAAACATTAATATGCAAAGATGGACTCACCGCGTTGGGTTCTTGACCAAGCAAAGGACGTTTCTCGGTGGGAACACCAGGAGCCACTTGTAGGGACGTTGACAGGATGGGACTCTCAAAGTATTCATCCATCATCATGACCTCCAACAAATCAATTTCGGGAGCTCCTCGTCCACTTCCTTGGGGCATTGTGGGAGCAGAACCGCGCAAATAGCTGTCAGGACACGAGTTGACGAGCTGACTGTTGCGGGTACGATTGTCACAGACATTGGTGGAAAAGGGCCACTTGTTTTCGGTCGAATTGATATAGGTGGCTCGACCCAGATTGCCCATCATCCAAATGGCAGGCCACAGACCCGCCACATTGGGATCTCCTGGCATTTTGGCCGAAAACTCGACGATCCCTCCGGTGAAACAGAATTTGTTCCAACTCTGCAGCATGCCCGATTTGAATTCTTTGGTTTCGGTGAATGGTCCCGACTCGTTTCGGTTGAGCAAATCATCTCGTTGTTCAATGCTAAGTCGAATACTAAGTGATCCATTGTGAGAACTCACCGCGTCGGCGTCGTCACTGTAATAGTGCAATGGATTGTTAGTAATGTCATTCTTGTCGAGTGCCGTCCAACGAGGATCTTCTCCATCCCGAAAGGTGCGTCCTTCTACTTGAAACTCTTCCGAAAACACGAGACGATAGCCTCTGGAATCCCCACGGGAAAGGGGAGAGATGACATGTTCTTTGAGAGGGGTATCCGGGTCGATCCAATCGCTGTTGGAAGGATAACTCATGGTATACGGTAGTCTGATGGCTACTAGTAGTAGGCTCAATGTTGACAGTGAAAGAGCCCACTGCGATTTATTCCTGCTGGTATGGGTCCACATTACGTTTTGATGGGCGATGACCGTGCGTGTGTATGTATGCGTGAGCGATGATGTTTATTATTTGTGACGAGGCTCTGTTTTTATGACAAAAGAATTGCCGTTGTTTGTTCTGTTTCGAGGAAATGTGAGACGCCTCAGTGAAAACTTCAACTGCCCATTGAAACATCATTGGGATCCTTCCGGATCCGAGAACCCCAAACGAAGAGGAGCCAAGAATCCGTGAAAGTTCAGCCGGTCTCCGCGGAACTTCTAAAGGGCATGGTCTGCTGGCTTCAAAAAAACCTCTCTTTGTCGTGCGTACCAAGATGATGAAGCCGCTTGGATGACTGGAACGAATCATTCCAAAGACGACGACTTTAAAAAAAAACCAATGATAGAGCTGATGTTGCTGTGGGGGCAAGAGCAATAGTTTTCTCGGCTAGCTAGCTAGTAGTAGATAAGATGTTGGACTTTTGAATCAAACTGAAACCTGCTATCTGGAACAATATCAATAACAGTAGCCCATGTATGATAGACAAGCAGCTGTGGGGGCAAGAGCAGTACTAGTAGTTTTCTCGGCCAACTTTTGAATCAAACAGAAACCTGCTATCTGGAACAAAATCCATAACAGTAGCCCACGTAGACAAAACTAAAGCACTGCAATCACTGGGAATCGAACCCAGGACATCTGCTTGGAAGGCAGATATTTTACCACTAAACTATGATTGCTGATGTCATCCTTTCTGTGATGACGGTGCTGTTATTACCAACTTATATGAAATATTTTCTTCGCTTGCGTCACCTTGGGTCGAAGAAGGAAATAGCATCGCACGCGTATCCAAGTCTGCCGAAGCTTCCAGTTGCAGCGCTGTGAAGCGATTCGTGTTGGGCCCGTTCAAAAGTCAAACAAATGGTACAGCTGCCTTTGGATTCCACCGGTACCGTAGCTGGGTTTTAGGCAAAACACTTTGCAATTTTGCCCTGCGCATAAGGGACCCGGCCCTCTGCCAACAGAGATTGGTTTATTGTTGTAGCCTTAGGAAGTTATCTGGTCCACTGCCCACTGAATTACTTCTGCTAGAAACTTGACCAGTTTCGCCATCATTCAGACAGGATCCCTGGGGTATCGTATCATGCAACCGACGCGGTCCTCCCACCACAGTGGCAGGAACTGAAATTTGAAATTTGGGGAACAATGCTATGAAGTTCATGTAGCAACCAGCAATTGCCATAACATCAGGGAACTATTCTATGTACGATGTAGCTCCAGCTGCGCTCGTTGCCAAGTAAACTAGTAGAAGATTGAATTGGACGTGACCAGGACCGGTTGCGGAAGATCCGTCACGTCTTGTCTCCCAAAGAAACAGGCAGATATCGGGCCGAAGGCCCGAAGTATCGCGGGGGTGCCCCCGCAGGGGGCTGCGTGCTTCAGCACGGAGAGAAGAAGGGGATCCCCCACGAACAGCACAGAACAACAACAAGAACACATCAACAAGAACAACACGAAACAACAATACAATCACTACTAAGACAATAGTGCCGCTACAAACCGATACACCACAGCAGTAGTAGGAGATGCAGTAGGAGATGCTTGTGCTGTTGTGCTTGTCGTTGGCTTTGTTGTTCCTCCGTCGCAGACTGAATATTCTTTCATCATGGTGAGTCGATTTGGGGGCAAAATGTGGGATACTTGCGATGCTTGGATTTAGAGATTTGAGGATGGTACGTTAAATCTTTTTTGGTTTCTGGCAGTTTCCTGTCCTAAGTACCATTATTACGTTACCCCATTCTGAATGGATCCTAACGTCATTCATTCGGAACACCGTGATTTGAATCTTGATTGCTGACATTCGGGACTGCGGTGAGCGAAGCTTCCTCACAACCTCACAAATATATCGTGGAACGGACGATGGTGAAATCGACGGCCGGTTTCAGCAGGATTCACAACCATGAGCAGCTACGAACGCAACTCCGGCGGGCACAGACCTAATCCCAGTCTGAATCCAGCCATTGCGCTCTTTGACAAGGTAATGGATCCCATGAAATTCTCAACTCTTGGCACAGCCGATCTAGTTGCTGAAAATGGGCTGAACATCATGGCCGACTTTTGCACAAGGATAGGCAATAACCCACCCATCGGTACACGGACGAACAAGCCAATGGCAGCGAGTGCGCTGAAAAAGTACATTGAGGCACTTTGCAAGGACCTCCGGACAAGATTTGGTAGACAGGCAGAATTTACTAATGTCCCATTGTTTCCTGCAGAAGATGTTAATTCTCTCAAGAAGACGTTCGAAGACATCCACGGCAGGACTCTAATTGTTGGAATGGATGAGGACGCCCTACTGCGAGACTACTATCCCATTCCAAGACAGCATTCAAAAAGGACCAAGCTGCTGCCTTTGCATGATTTTTCGAACCCAGCACAGTTAGCGCAAGCCCGCAGCGTCGATCTACTTCGTCTTGGTAAACGGCTACTACGGACTGGTCAAATACTGAACTGGCTGATGATACTGGTAACAAACAATGCAGTTGGTCGTGGTAAAATTTATCTCATACGACAAGATGTTTTGGGACCCATACTTCAATATGTTGTTCCTGCAGTGGTTCCAACGCAAAGAGCTGAAGACTAGCCCTTCTGGGTTCTGTTACGACTTTGAGCATCCAGAGCTGTGTGTCCTGTTCGCGTTTGGCTGCTACTGGTCACTGGAGAATGGACTGGTGAGGTCCAACGAGGCAATGGCGCAACCAGGCAGTGCAATCTACCGGCGGAGCAAATTTGTGTTCCAAAATCTACATGGAGTGGTGGATGGATCAGTTGCGTCGCAGCTCACCACCATTATCCGCAGCTGCATTCATGCGATGATACAGTCACACTACACCGTGAAGTCCCTCAGAGCTGGTGCCATGTCTCTATTATCATGGCTTCCCACCGTGACATATGAGGAGTGCATAGCGATTGGTGGATGGTCGACGAGAGCAAGTCGCGACTGGTATGTGTGGCAGTATTTGGTGGCTATTATCCCAGCGGTGCTAGCACTGGCGGGGCATCCAGACCCACGGCTGCTCCCTTACGCTCCAACGTGTGAAGTTCTCTTCACGGATTTGGATGGAACAATGATATTTCCACGCGACAAATTCCAGTTGTTCCTCCGGACGCTGTTTCCAAGCAGCTTACCCGAGTTTGCACCACCACAAGGTCGATTGCGGCCCTTCATGTTGGTTGTTACAGCTGTGATGATCAAGAATTACCGGTACATGCAGGACACCTACGGAGGAGACCACCCTTTTGTACACAAGATGCGAACAGTGGTGCATCGAGTTGAATTGGCTGTCGATCTTGTTGCTGCTTCGAACAAACTCAGGCACTGGTCAAAGAAGATAATTGACGACACGGCCTCCTCCAACCAAGATGACGGTGTCCTAGTTCGTGCTAGTGTTTCAGACAAGTTGCATGAGGTCTCGAACAACGTTGCAGATCTGCTCCGGACGCGACAGCAAGACCAATTGAACCAGACGCAGCTTCTGCAGGGCATTGGCGAATTAAGGCAGGGACAGAGTGATATCAAGAGCAGCGTGGAAGCCCTGACAGAGGCAATGCGACAACTGACAACGCGACTGGAGCGACTGGAGCAACCACGGACCGCTCGAACTCCGCAGCAACAACAACCGGAGCAACAACAACAACCGGAGCAACAACAACAACAAAAACAACCGGAGCAAACAACAACCGGAGCACAACAAAACAACAACCGGACAGCAACACAACAACCGGAGCAGCAGCAGCCACGCCAACAGGCACTCATTCGTTCCGGTGCTACTGCTGGTCGTGGTATTCGACAAGACGAGAGGAAGATAGGCAATATCCTGTCCGCGATATACGAAGTCAACCAATTCAGGAGTCTACGTGTCGGTGTTGCCCTTCGGTCCCTAGCGAACCTAGTGAATACAAGGTTCATGAATGGTGATGGCAGGAATCGAAAGAAGATAGAAGTGGCTCTAGATTTAATTGATTGCCTATGGACGCCCGAAGAGAGAGCCAACAGTATCAACCAAGGATTTGCTGATGACACTGGAGCCAAGCAAGCCTACATGTCAATCGATGACCGAGTTAAGAGAACATGTCATGTGTTTGATGATCCAGGGGACAAGTGGAATCCCAACTCAAGGCGCTCCACAGCTGTCACTGGTGTTGGCAACCTTGTATTGAAGAAGGGCCGTGAAGTGTTTGCCGGTGAGATACGTCGAAGGATGCCAAAGTGGAATCGCGATCCTCCGCAAGCAGCTGGATCAGTCTCACTATGGGAGTTGGTGCAACAGAGGGAATCCGCGATAAAGGCCAGAGTGCTTTATCGTCGTGGTAGAGGAAGAGGTCGTGGCAGAGGGAGATGACTAGATGACTCTCCTCGGCGTTGCGATGGCCATGGTGAGTGCCCGTTCAGTGATTGATGAGATGCACAACAACAACAACACTAACCGGACACTGTATTTCACCGGTTAACGGATCATCGCCAAAGGCCGCATCCAGTTGAATCTGGTGCATTCTCACTCGATCATTGCCATTGTACAGGGACTTTGGTATCACCACACGTAAGTAGATGACCAGTACTCAGTCTACAACACCAACTATCTCCCCCTTCTACCTTACCCTACTTCGCTCTTATAATGAAGAAACGTTGGCCCTGCTGGCTTGAGGCGACGAGCAACGTCACAGCCGCACGCAGCCTGGATAGGACTCTTGGCCTCAAGCTTTACCTGGTACCGCAAGCTAATACTTAGATCCACATCGAAATATGCAGGACTCCATTGGAGTTGTCATGATCCCTCCTAAAGACACAAAACAAGTGAGGTTTGCGCAACACCAAACCATGCTACTCGCAAAAGTCTTCGTTGCAGTTCTTTGTTTGGCTAGTGTTGCAGTTCTTTGTTTGGTGAGTGCCACCAGCGCCAAGCAGGATAAATTCATAACGGCACATGAGCAACCAGCAGAGAAACAAACCGTTATTGCCAAGAAGAACAAAATAAACAGCAAGGTTTCCAAGACATTGATGGCACAACAAACCTCCATGGCTTCCTTGCTCAAGAGCTTCCCCAACAACAATAGTATCAATCTTTCATTGGATACCCCCATGCCGGCACTCACAACTCCCATGCCACCGCTTGTTAACAACAAGGAACAACAAGATTTGGTGAGTGCCACCAGCTCCAAGCAGGACAAATCAACAACGGCCCATGGTGGCGGCAAGCATCAGGCCAGAGTCAAGAGCAGTTCCAGTCTTCGCACCGAACGCAAAAGTAACGAAACAGCCAAGAGGGCTTCCGCTGGCAAACGCTCGGACTGCTCCGTAAGGTGCTACAACATGTTTGCCAAGTCCACGGGATTCGGATCTCTGTCGAATAAGAGAACTGCCTATGGTACCAAAGCTTGGGACAAGTGCCATTGTGACGACCTCTTTTGCGAGGAACCCCTTGAATTCAAGCCATTGTCCAACGACAGAAGTGTGGGCAGTGTACTGCGCCACTGTCAATGGTCCCACCGAGCCATTGATACCCTGGCCGACATGGTCAATAGGAGCAACATTTGCTCTCCAGATCAGCAAGATGCATTTGTCCCTGACAAGCAATGGGAAAGATACAACTTTGCCGACTTTTTCAACAGGCGTCATGTTTGGGAAGGGGAGCAATGGTGCATCAAGCCAAAAATCCCAGGAAGTCTAATGGAGGCATTCTATACCCATGCCATGGCAACCATCAACACAACGGACGAACACGAATATGACGCAAAGAAATATGACCTCCTCACTCATGTTGTCAGGGAACGAGTCCGATGTCTGACCAACAAGTCAGATTGCAATGTAAAGCCCCCCCACAGTGCCACCCAAGCACCACTGCTGCCAGAACCGGGAACCCTCTTGATTCACGTCCGATTGGGCGATGTCATTGATTCTGCAGCTGATTCCGTCCAAGACCTTCTCAAGGAACAAATGTACTACTATCGGCTAAACAGCACCGCAAAGGGAGGCTGTTGTACCAATCCGTGGGAGCATCCGGAAAACCCTCCTCTAAAACTTCTATGGAATCGGTATGTTCGACCTCTCTCCTACTTCAGAGAACAACTACAGTCTGTACACCAAGAGCGCTTTGCATCGATTGTTCTCATGGGAGCAGCTCACAAGGGCCAGGACTTGCCCGAAGAATTCAGGAATGCCCTGGGAAGCTGCATCTACACACACGCACTAAAGGTTTACGTGCAAACGGCCTGGCCGAATCACAAAGTGACGCTTCGATTGGGACAGCCCCCCGATAATGACGTGATATTTGCTTCTCAGGCAAAATATCTCGTGGCATCTGGCGGCGTGTTTTCCAGGCTTCTGAGGCAACTACGTTACAATTTTTTTCATGAAACAAGAGAGAAGAAGAGCGGGGAGGACGATGAAGCAAAACTGTAGTACCGGTACCGACTAAATCAGATGATAGTCCCTGGCTAGCGGTTGCTGCAGTTGGGGCTATCCGTACGAATAAGCAAACCACTGGTCCCATACGCGTCTGGCCTCCAGTTTTGTCTTCAAAGCCCACGGCCGGAAGGTAATTCGACCCCTCCGCTCTGCCTCTTATGCAACGGTATTGAGAGTAAATACTAAATAGATACGGCAACGGTATCGGTACCGGAGTATCCCAGCAGCTCTCATCAGCTCATGTGAAGACCGCCAGCGCGCCCCGTGGATCCACGTCTGAGACTGTCACTCCAAACCTTCACCAATCCAAAACCCTGGGTCTCGTGAAAGTGGCACCCACAATTCGATTCCTCGAGGAAACCAAAACAAGAAAGAGAAGAAACACGTAACTAACACAATGTACGTCCCCGCCAAGAGCCAAGACGAACTTACAACCACGCCAGAAGGCCTTCGCGACACTTTGGAGCGATATGGCGTCGCCATCATCCCTGGAGTCTTGGACGACGAGGAAGTAGACGAAATGAAACAAGGCTTTTGGCAATTCTTGGGTCAACTCTCTGCCAACTGCAAAACGCCAATCACACGTCAAAACAAGAAAACTTGGAGCACTTTTTACAGTTTCAAGCCCATGAGAGGAATGTTGATGCAACACTGGGGCGTTGGCCATGCCCAAGTACTATGGAACCTCCGACAGAACCCAAAGATTGTCGATATCTTTTCCACTCTTTGGAATGTGCCCAGAGAGGAGCTGTTAGTCAGCTTTGATGGTGCATCCTTTGCTTTCCCCCACGAATCGACGAAAGTGGGTGAATTTGACGGCACGGACAAATTCCACGTCGACCAAGCGCCCACGAGGCCATCGTTTCAATGTGTTCAGAGTTGGGTGACTGCGCACGACGTGAGACCTGGCGACTCCACCCTTTCTGTAATCGAAGGCAGCCACAAGCTTTTGGGCGAGTTTTGTGAAACGTTCAACAAGGAGCACATAACCTGGGATTGGTATATGCTGAAAGAGGACGAAGTGGAGTGGTACAAGCGCCAAGGATGCGTCGTGAGGGACATAACCTGCCCAGCGGGGTCGATGGTGTTCTGGGACAGCCGGTCCATACATTATGGCAAGAGCGCTCTGAAGGACCGCCCACAACGCAACTTCCGCGCTGTGGCTTATCTTTGCTACACCCCTCGCTCCTTTGCCACTGAGGATGCACTTGCCACGAAGCGGGATGCCTTTTCATGGCAAGCAACTACCAGTCATTGCCCTCATGACCCCCGCCTGTTCAAATTCAAGCCGAAGTATTTCAAGACGAAAATGAACGTTCAAATACCACCGCCCAAGCTGACACCGCTAGGACGGTCGCTGGCTGGTTTTGTCGACAACGAAATGAATTAGATATGTAGTCTTAAGCACAATAGGAAAGTGATAGCACAAATCAGGCGAAACATGACCACGACAGACAGGGAACGGATATATGCTCCAGACTGGCTAATCCACAACTCGGAGCTATATAAACCGGGTGAGTAGATAGGTGCAGTAGCTATCCATCAGGGATTTGGTTTGCACTGGGAAAAGTTTCCAAAGGTGAGAGATTGTGTTGGAGAAGAAGAAATGTATTTGAGTGGCCTGTTCAGTGGAAGGGAAACAAAGAACGCGAAATTGAGCTTTAGTCAATCTGCTCTCCTGGCTGCGCGGCTCACAGCTCACTGGTCCTATGACCTCGATTCGATTCGTCCCCCCCCATAGTTCCCCCCACCGTAACTGCTCTTGAAGACGCCTTGGAGATGCATGCTGTCCAAGGTGAGAGGAAATTTCGAATGTCACCTAGTAGAGCAAGTTGCTGGCATTCTAGCCTTGTTATCACCCACGGCCCGTGAACTGGGCGGATGTGTCTGGCACGCAAAAGGCCTTCACCGATGGATCGAGAGAAGGGGGTTCGAAAACATTTCATCTCCAGTGAAGAGTGCGTAGAACCCTTTGATATCCATGCAGTGAAACTCTGCATGCTGGTTGACCGTGCACTGAATCAGAATCCCTTCGCCCCTTGACTGCTTTTGGTTGCCGTTTCCGGCACTTCGTCCAGTCATCCTGAGCAAGGAGGGTGGAACCATGTCATCTTCATGGGAATGCAGAGCCGACAATGAAAAAACCTCCCTAGCCATGAGGATGTTGGCCAGCAGCAAGAGCAACAACCACAAACAAGCAACCATCATGATGACTTTGAAAGTTTGTCTGATACGACGAAAATGGAAGGTTTGGACCAACCAAACCTCGCTCGCGAAATGGCATCATTTCGAGTCGTATCTACTGGGTGGCCCGAAGGGCCACGCCCTAACGTCATACTCACGACTTGGGGCACCTCTGTGGCAGTCACAGGCGCCAGCAGAGCCACACTCTCAACTTCAACGCACACCCACAACAATCCACTCGCAAATTTGATCTCCCAAACTCATCGCTGAAGAGAGTGATTGGGATGCCACTAACCTGGCTAGTTACTTAACATGTCACTTTTTGGCTATTCTTTTTACGGCTACTTTTCTTTTTACCACTTACTTATTTAAGGGCGAACAAGGCCCATTCTTTTTTCCATGTCACCTTCACTGTCTCGCTTAAACATCTTTCGGGGTGTTCTTTTTTTGGGCTCTGGCATGGTTGACGGCTGAGGGCAGATTGGATGCTTCCAATGACAGGATCATGGCAACACTCTCCATTCTGTTCGCTATCTCTCCTGCCGACAGCTCCATCATTCTTGGGTTGTGCACGAACTCGTTGGTGATGTCCTTCCTGATGATCCTCATGATTTCGTCGATCCTCGTTTTGCCACCTTTTGGCAGCTTTGGTTTGTGGGGCTCGTTCTTCTTCTCTTTTGGTGGCTTCGGTTCGCCCATTCGGTGTGGTGTGGCAGGCCCTTTCTTGGCGAGGATTCGAGCGTTGTGCTGTGATTCCTCAATCAACCACTTCTTAAGAGTCCCCTCGCTGATTGGTTCTTCTTCGGTTGATGAGACCGTGGTTACCGAATTCGGGGAGGCTTTGCGTTGCCACCAGCCAAGTCGGTGAGTTTTGGTTCTGCTTGTGACAAATACATCAGCGAGCAGGAACATAAACGGCGACTCACCCATTTCCATATGTCCTCCGGTGTAGGATCCATCTTGGTCCAAACCGGCGAGTTGCCTGTTGATCTGCTTCTCGATTGAGGGAACGGCATCATTCCTTTTCAGTGGTGGGGCGTCTTGCGGTGTCCTTGGTGACCTCTTTCCGGACGGCGGCTTGTTCTCTTTCTCTGGAGTTCCATACATTCGGTCGTCCTTCTTTTTACCTTTTCCTGTGGCGACCATTGGAGAGGCTGGGGGCAATCGCTGAGGGGTGTCTTGTGTAAAGAAGCCGAAGATTCCATCTTCGTTCGGCGATGGTGGAGTGCCGGGAGCTTTGGCGGGTGACATTGGTGGGAGCTTGGCTGGGGACATCGACATGACTGTCCTGCCTCGAAGAATGTATTTCACACGAGAGTATTGGTTGGCCATTCTTTTTGTGACAAACAACAATCAGCCATTGCAGGTGTGACGGCCAACAATCAACCATTGATTACCACCGAGCACCACCTTTGGAGGGAAAAAGAACAATCTGCAGGGCCGAATTTGAAATTTGAAATTGAATAGCCAATGAAGCGGCGCCACCTCACGCGTCATTCGGCTTTGACTACCCACAACTAGCAACTAAGAGACGCCATCGGAGGTGCCGCTACTGTACTTAGGCCTTCGGGGCGAGTTCTGACAACAATCAACACTATCTGTATCCTAATACGTACTAATTAAGTTGATCGCTAGCCGGTCTATTATATAGTAGTTCCAAATCGCTGCTGCCGGCTTTTGGCGGTAGCTTTGATAGCCATCACGTCCTAGGTTTTTCCAAAAAGATCGTTGTTGTCAGTTTGTTTGTTCTCACTTTCTCCTCCTAGTCGTTGCCAATGCCAAATCCATTGAGGGGACTATTTCGGAAGGGGTGGCAGCGGCGCCGTCGCAAGAACAAGAATCGTCCAAAGAACAATGGCAATGGCGCCCTGAGCCGTGGACAGCGGAGGAAACGGGCACAGCGAGAGATTCATGAATTGGAGAAGGGGGGTATTATGCCATCGTTCGATGAACTGCAACCGCTCCTTACGTGTAGTGGCAAAGCAACCCAATATTTCTACGATAAGGGAGTTCTCCAGCCTCCGACAAACTGTCCAAGATGCACCCATCCGGTCACCTACAAACCAAATGCGAGGAATACTGTTCGTTGCCGGCGATCCGACTGCCCCTTCATCATTCCTACGGCATGTGACAAGTGCGGCGACCAGGTGGCGTGCTACACGGAGGAGACCACAGGTGAGGTTCTGTCCGCGGTTTGCCAGAACAGTGCTTGTCACTGGACATGGAAACAGAGCGGTACTGCTTTCGAGTGCTCAATCAACAAGGGGGGTGTTATGGAGAACTGCAGACTGGAGAAAAACAAGATTCTGTGGCTGATATACCTATGGCTCTTGAAGGTTCCAGCTCGAACGGCTGGTGTCCTTTCCTCAGTTTCTGAGGGCACAGTTAGCCGGTGGTACCGGCATTGGCGAAGGTTGGTGACAGAAATGGTTCTCCAGGCAGGAAGAGAGGAGTACATGCTTGGTGGTCCCGGTAGGATTGTCGAAATGGATGAAGGAAAGTTCGGAAAGCGCAAGGACAACAGAGGCCGGTGCGTCAATGCCGATTGGGTATTCGGAATGGTGGAACGCGGTGGTGAACGAAAGATGGCACTGGCGGTTGTACCGAACAGGAAGGCCGACACACTGCTCCCACTTATCACAGCATTCGTCTTGCCAGGAACAACAATTCACACTGACATGCATGGTGGATACAACAAAATAGAGGAACAAGAAGGCTACAACTACACACACAAGAGACTATGCCATAAGTATGAGTTTGTTGCCCAGGATGGAACTCACACACAAACGATCGAGGGCAACTGGAGAGTGCTCAAGAAGAATGTGCCAGAGAGCCAACGCGAGGGCAGCGACCTCCAGGAGTACCTGTACGAATGCATGTGGAGGAGGAAACACACAAACGACCTTTGGGCTTCCTTCATGGTGGGTCTAGCGAGACTCAGGTACAGGCCGGCTGACATCGATCGTCTCTGGGACCATCGTGAGATGGTGGATGATCCAGACAACTATGATCCAGACGATGACAGTGAATCCAGCGACGACGACTGTAGCCTATCCGCCGACTCTAGTGTTAGCGAGATAAGTGTCAGCGACCCCTCCTCTGACTACATGGTGATCTAGTTAGTAGTTTTAATGATTATTGTAGCTGGAAACATGACTGTCGCTCTATTATATTGCCTTTGACCAGCGGTAGCTGTTGTCATGGTCGCGTATTATCTCTCCATTATTTGTTTCATTCTTTTACGCGTGTCGGTGTCATGTTTGCTTTTTCGGGTATCCGATGACGGGGGAGGTACTACTGTGTAAATTTTTGTACCGACGGGTGTACGTGTATCTAGATTTCAGTACAAAAAATTCGTTGTAATTCCTGCTTTTACGCTGAATGGAGTTAAGTGACACTGAAATCGGGATACGTTGGTCGGTGGTCACATAGAGAGTTGTGCTCGGTTGTAGTCACGATCTGTGAGTGTAATTAGAGGGTAGAGGACGTTTATACTAAAATAGTAGGAAACGAACTTCAACAGCTTTCGCCGAATGAAGATCACCTAATTACGGCATCTAAGTGACAATTCGGTTGGTTTACGTTGTGTCGATACATGTCGTTAATTGGCGAAAAATCTAGTAGTCGTTTGTACAGGAAATGCGTAAGAATCGACAAAACCATGAAACATTTTCATCCCATTTTCATAATCTTGACTCGACATCGAAGCTATGCCCAAAAATTTACTTCAACTCTACAAATATTGCGACGATAACATGCTGCTGTTTTGCTAGGAGGATTCTGCATTTTCGAAAAGATTGCGGAAGCGGGAGACAATGATATTAAGGTACGTTCAATGTTTTTACACGACGTTCAATTATGTGGGACGACGGGTCCACTCCCCAGCAGCAGTGAATTTGGAATGCAACATTTGTTCATGGATTGTCGCGTGCACATTTTGTCGTTGAAAACTTCTCACGCCTGCCTTTTTTGCCGTTAGGTGGTGGCCCTCTTTGGGTAACCACCGAGGGCACAAGGGTGGCAACTACCCTATCTACTTGCCCTCAATCCCGTACTGGTCCTCAATTTCCTGCTCCTGATCCCACAGAACCTACTAGTCCTGAATTGTTTCGCTGTTCTTTGCTTAAGCCTGGCCCCGGCTGGCTTCCGTAGATAATTTCCCTATTCTAAAACCCCCGTTTCTTAAATCCTGATACAAATTTCTTTGAGGTCCAGTCCCCTGATGACAACTACATGTACATTGCCAGTGGCATCCAGCCATTGCCGATCCCTGAACCACCATCACTGGGTCGAGCAAGAAGGGTCAGAGAAGAGGAACCAGGGGCCTATGCTGTGGCTGGGATTAGACCCGTGTTTCATCGCCCGAGAACCAATGATAGGCCTTTGACTGCAGGGGCACCCGACGTGGAAGAGGCAGGATTGGAAATGATTCCTGCAACCGGAAGTGAAGATAATCATGATGTCTTGTCCATGCTGAACCAATTGTAGAGTCCGACAATGGGGAGATTCCAACAGCAGAGCCAATATCAACAAGGGCAAGAAAGTTATGGAAGAAAAAGCTGTGCTTGTCCCTCTCCCTGGAAGCTATTGTTGTCATTGTTGCAATCTCTATATTTCTCTTGTTGTTTCTCTTGTCTTCAAGAAGAGAGAGCCGGACACAGTTGGGAAAGCTGCAGAATGGGTTGATACCAATACTTGAAAGTCCAGCAGCAATTTCAAGTACAGCAGGGGAGCCAACAACATTGGTGGAAACACTCAATCTACCTGATTACACACTGGAAGCTATGGAGAATCCTAGGTCTCCACAATCAGTTGCATATCAATGGCTGAGCAAAAACTACTACAACACCAGCTCCACTCTCCATAACTTTCCAATCCAACCTGGAGACTTCTTCAACGGTTTGCATTGGCAACATTCTATTATTCTACCCGGGGTGATCATTGGTTGAATAATCATGGCTGGTTGGATTGGGACACCAATGAGTGCCTTTGGGAACAACCAGTTGTGCCTTGGCATCCTTTGCCCAATTGCAATTCATGGGGCAAATCGTATCACTGTCATTTGTGGTGGCCAACAATCTGGAAGGAACAATACCACCAGAGCTATCTCTATTGAGTGGAAGCTTGCAATTCTTGCAATTTCATGGGAACTTCCAACTTGCGGGAACGATACTAACTGAAGTTGGGAAGCTGACAAGGTTGGCAAATTTGTGGTTCAGCTTGACACACTTGTCTGGCACACTCCCGACAGAACTGGGTCAGCTGCAAAGCCTTGAACAACTAAAGTTGTCAAACTGCCAGATTGGTGGGACTCTACCTTCTGAACTGGGCAACTTGGCCAACCTGACAGATGTTGCATTCTTCAGGACAAATATATCAGGTATGAATCATTGAGACACAGCCTTTCCAACACAGACAGGCCACTTATCAAATTGCTGACTCGCCAACTGTGTAACATTTCAGGATCCCTCCCCAGTGAGATTTTCCATTTGGCAAATATCAAAAGCATGCAGAATTTGTCCTTCCTGCAGTAATAGGAAACATGCACAAGTTGGAGAGGCTCTCTCTTGGCCATCGGCAGTCTGGTGGGTTCAATTCAATCCCAGGTAAATTGAGTTGACAAGGGTTCCATTCAGGATGCTGCATATTGGCATTTTCATTTTTAATGCTGCTTTGATTTTAAAACAGTGGAAATAGGGAAACTTACCAACCTGGTACATCTGGGTACCGGTATGAATGACTTTAAGCTGTTTGGTACAAAATT